GGAGAGAGAGAGAGAGAGAGAGAGAGAGAGAGGCTTATCTGTAAACTTCAAAGCTGGGATTACTTGTAAGGGGGAGTCAAAATTATCATTTTTCCCACTCAAGTGCATCAGGGATCTACCCTTTGTAGTCTGATCAGTACTCAGCCTAGTGTTTATGTAGACTCCAGTTTTTTTAACATGTTTTATGACTGCAAGAATCTTATTAATATTTATACAAAGTTCCCATTTTTCTTTAATTTGCATTAGAGTAAAAAGCGTTCATTTATTTTATACCACAGAAGTAAGTTGCACCTTAAAATTCCACTAGAAAAGAGAGTTCCATGTTGGAAAACCTTCCAATTGATTATCTCAACTTGAAATGTATGCTATAAAGGAAAAAAACATCATCCTAAAAATAGTTCATCTTTCTTGTAATAAGTCATTCGGAAAGTCGATTTAGTTCCTGATAGCAAACCTTACTTAAAAACCAATATTTACACATTAGTAGTCAACCAAGCCATACAAATCACCTGTGGGCATTTCAAAAGCACCAAGCATGACAAGTTTGTCATATTCTGTCTCTTTGAACCATGCATAGAAAAGATTGGGAAAGTCCATGGAATTGATGCCACTATAAAATACCATACCCTAAGTGGTAAGAGACCTCAAAAGGTCGGCTTAGAACCCCAATTAGATGAGACTATGAGACTAGTTACACATCACAAGGCGAAGGCAATAAAAATAAATTAGCTACTAATAACTTTATTTTAACCTGCATTTGACAGGCCCCTTGTCTAGTTACATCCAACACAAATCACCAATTGTAAAATCAACCCACTTTAGGAACCAAGCTTATCTACCAGCCCTTGATCAAATACCTTGTTTACTACTCACACATTAACCCAACGATGCATAATTTGTGTAGGTCAGAACCCACATACTGAATCCCACAGAGAAATGACAGTGAATAACTTTAATTTATAACTGCACATGACATAACAAACATACAACAAAAAAAAAGAGAGAGAATATGAAGGTCAGAACCATACTAAGAAGTAGAACACTACAAACCCATCAACTTTAGAAACCATAGTGAATTGGGGTCATGATCCTACAATGGAATGTAGACTTATGGGGAGAGTGACAGCAGAACACACTGAGGTACAAGAGGACCCTTGTAATCACTATCACCATACCTCATCTGATCTCATAGGAGTATGGTTTTTCAACCCCAACAGAATATGGCTTTTCATAGTCCCTTAGACTGCACTGGACTTTATACGGTGAGAGAACACGAAATGTGAGTTGTTACATGGTGAATGGAGCTTTACAATTTGATCCAAATGGTTAACAGTGTCGGTGCAAGCCTCATGGGACCTGCTCACATTTGCTCATGTGTTGCAAGAGAGAGCTCGCCTTCCTCTGAGCCCTGTTATTCCCACTTTGAACGAGCTCAATGAGGTGCTCGTAAACACCAAACTGGAGAGCTGCCAATATATGGAATGAGTTGGTGAGACCCAAGTCAAGTAACAAGGCCACTGCACACTCCTTGTTCTTGGGTGTCCCTTCCTTGATCAATTCCACTAAAGTTTGTATAAAGGATTGCTGGCCTATAACTCCATGCCCTTCTGGTATCATAGCGAGTAGAGAGAGGATCGATAGAGCTTCATCCACCATACCCAAGTTCTTATCTTGGAGTAGTTGTAGTAATGGTGGTATGGCCCCAGTCTTTACTGCCCTTAGTTTGTTAGCCTGGTTTAGAGAGAGATTGAAAAGTGCAGTTGCAGCATCTTTCTTCCCTCTAATTGTCCCTTCCCTTAAGAGATCCACTAATGGGGGTATCCCATTTAGAGAGCCAATAGTTACCTTGTTCTCATCAACCGTTGAGAGGCTGAATAAAGCTGCTGCTGAATTCTCTCTAGCCTCCATGCTTCCACGACGAAGCACTTCGATAATGGCTGGTATGGCCTCAGCCTTTGCAATGAGCCTCTTATTTCCTTCATCGAGAGAGAGGTTTAAGAGAGAGGTCACTGCGTTTTCTTGGATTTTGGATTCAGGATATGAGAGAAGGCCGATGAGATGGGGAATTGCACCTTCTCTGGCTATGAGGACCCGGTTATCGGGGTTCTCTTTAGAAAGAAGGCGTATCTTTATGACTGCTGCTCTTTGGGCTTCAAGGTGTGAGGAGAGGTCTCGAACCACAGCAGAGATTTCCTCTTTGTGCTCAGAGGAGCCTTCAGAGCCCAAGGAGGTGTTTTCTTTCTTGGGGAGCTCCACATTATATTTCTCGCACCATAGAGAAATGAGGTTACGGAGGGCATAGTTTGGGGCTAGAGAGAGGTGTGAGAGAGTTAGTCGGGTTTTTGGGCAGGTCCTATGACCTGACTCCAGCCATTTTTGTATGCTCGATCTCTCATATGTCTGTCGAAAAGAAGAAACAAGCATGAAGATTGGAGCAACAGGGGATCTTTAATTTATAAGACAACAGCTTCCATTGTCGACTGTATCACTCTTGGGATTACGAATATTAGTGGAAATATCATCAAACACAGATAAATGCAGAAACCTAAAAAAAAACAGCCAGAATGAGTGGTGAATTATCTAACAGCAGAATACTCTAGTTACAAATTTTTCTAAGAGAATTTGACCAACTAGCATATTTGTCAGCCAATAAGTGATAAATGTCTAGGACATAATAACTCTGAAAGTTCCACATGGTCACAACCAGTGGTTTAAAAATAGCCGAGTCGGCACGGAATCGGCTAATTCGACTTGGGAATCGGTCGTCCCATGCCGATTCTTGTTTATAATTGGAAATCAGGTGTGTCTAGAGGTGAAACGGTGATTTGTATCGATAACTCGACGATTCGCTACAGTAATTCGGCGAGTCGCAACAATGACACAGCAATTTCAACCGGTAGGAGTAAGCTTTGAATTTTTTTTAAAAAATTGGGAGGCATATATGTTGTGTGCGCTCTCAACCGTCGTCATAACAGGACACGTCACTCGTAGGGCGATAAGCATAACAACAACACTCACAGCACGATAACATGAGGTACACGTCACAAACCTGTACACACTCTAACATTAACATGCACCCGCCACAAACACTTTATACCAGGCAGTTCTTCCTTAACTCTGCGATGTGGGATAATTCCCATCGGTGTGCATGCGAAATCATTAAAGTACAAACCACACCCTCTTACAAATTTGTTATCTTACATGCAATGGGTCGCCATAGTTAATAGGGTTGTTCTACGTAATTGTGACCTCAATCTAATAAAGTTCGTGGTCCGTGAGGGTGATCTTTAGTCAACTAAAGTTATCCTTCGTCAATTTTGTTTACTTTTACGTGCAGTTGATGTCCACAAGAATAATAATTTACAAAAATTAATATAATTATATGAAATTGTTGTTTGTTTATGTTAATAACTTAAATATGATTATGTTAAATTTATGTCAATATAATTATTTTTATATACATTAAAATTATTTTTAAATTATATGGAAGTTTTTTCTAATATTTTTAAATTATTTTGATGTAATATTATAATTAATAGTTATAATACTATATTATAGTGCTATATTATAATTAAAAAATAGATCAGTGCCCCGGATCGAGCATCCCAAAAACCCATCATTTTCTTATTTTTCTTGTCAAAAAATGAATAAAAGGTAATACAACTAGTATTTCTTGTCAAAAAAAAAAAAGTACTACAACAAGTATTTCTTGTCAAAAAAAAACAAGGTATTTCTTAATACAACAAGTATTTCTAGTTATTTTCTTATTTTCTCGTCAAAAAAATAAAAAGTAATACAACAAGTATTTCTTGTCAAAAAAATAAAATAAAAGGTAATACAAGTATCATATTTTTCTTGTCCATGTATGATTATATACTTCATCCATGATAATTCTATGATGTTTCTTATGTGTGATGTAAATTTAATGGTTAACATAAGTTCATACAGGAAAAAACATCTTAATATTCTCAAATTGATGAAAAAAATGAAAGTTAATAATATAGTACCCCCATTTCTTATTGGATTCTTAAAAAACAACATTTATAATGAATTTTAATAATTTTTTTTTAATTTGTTTTAAGGCTTAATCCGACCGATTCAGTCGATTTCTGATCTGGATGACCGATTCACCGATCTGGATGGGTTTTTGGGGTGCCCGATCCAAGGCACCGATCCGTTTTTTAAACCATTGGTCACAACTAAACCTCCAGGAGCAATCCTTTGGGAGCAACAATTCTGTACAAGCGGGTTTTGATACATGCACACACACACACACACACACACACATATATATATATATATATATATATAATATGCATTCCTGTGTACAATTGTGTGTGCGTGTGTGTGTATGTATGTATGAATAAATGAATGGATATAATTGTGCATGCAAACCTTCACAGCATGTGATGTTTTACCTGTCCAGTTGCAATGATAACAGGATCGGTCATGATCTCCAAGGTAATGGGGCACAAGAAATCATTTGGAATCAATAACGAAGGGCTTTTCTCAAGGCTTTTCGGCAAAAAGACATTGTCAATTCCATAGCCTTGGTTTTCCTCAATGCCTGCAATTTTCTTGAATTTGTTAAGGAGGTCAATAATCTGTTGAGTGGTCTCTGAATTTTGCCCAGATCTTTCTTTTATGAGCTTCCTAACAACTATAGACTCTGCTCTTAATTCAGGGACGGTATGAAGTTCCAGCTTATTTGCAAGTCTCTCGAGGATAGCACTATCTGCATTCCTATCATCTTTCTTAGAGAACACCACCATTGTATCCATGGCAAGCTCGATATCTTGAGTATCTGTTCTTCTCTTTGATCTCCTAAGTTGCAGGCACATTAGCTCAACCTGTACCAATTCAAGGGTAAGGCAGATTTCCATTTCTTTGATTCACAGAGAAGTGGTAACAAAGAGTGAGAAACTTTTTGTATTAAATGTGAGAACATCTCTCATGTTGAAAATCAAATGGCTAGTAAAAGAGAGAGATAGAGATTCGGATGAATGTATCAGATAAGAGAGAGACAGAAATGGGAGTTCTTTTTTCATCGGAAATATAAACGGATTTTCATAATCAATTTTCTTGCATATCGCTCCATCAGACTGAACTTCATAACCTTTTCTAAACCATAATCAACTTGATGTCAAAAGATAACATTTTTATGGTGTTTGAAGATTAATAGCAGGAAATAAATGACAATGTCTGCTCCATTTGGAGCTATCATAGCTCAGATACCTGACTGCTAGTTTTACATATTACTAGAATTTTTAAACAACATAACAGAGTATTAGGCCAAATTTGATTTGTGTTGGTATAAGGAAGCTAGAATTCAAATGAATATTTGAGAACATAATGAAAGTTCATCGAACCACCTTGGCTGAATATTTTCAGAGCTTAAATATTAGAAAGAACAAAATGGAAGAACAAAATTCAGGAGCCTACTTGTTCTTTCACTTCATCTGAGATACCCAGCAGTTCATAAGGCATGTCATCCAAAGCAAAGTTCAATTTTTCATTCACTGAATGGAATCTTCCGGCAACCGACTCGCTCTCCAAAGCCTACACATTGCTAGAATCAGGAAATGTGTACCAAAAAAAAGGAAAAACTCAATATTATTTCAATTTCTTGTTCTTTGCTTTTCCATTAATGCATAGAATCCAAATATTCTTATCAAAAGAACAAACCAAATTCACAGCACGCCAGGAAAAGAGAAGGCAACTCTCTCTCTCTGCATGGGCATAACCATTAGAGGCCCTTACCAGATAAATCTTGCTCCCATCATGACAGGTTCTCAACAGCTTCTTCGCCGACATGAACGCCTTCTTGAGCTTGCAGAAACAGGCAATGGCCTCCTCTGGTAATGGCCTCTCCATTTCCCCAACCTCCTCCAACAGAGGAGCCAAAAGCTTCATCCTCCTCACTAGATTGAAGCATTCCTTTCTTTGGGTCCTCCTATAATCACCATAAGATCCAATGCGTTCAATAATTTCCACTAAACTCTGCACCACATCTCTCTCATCACCCTCTGATATCTGGGTTACCTGGCTAGAATCCACCATTAAAGGACATGCTGGGTCATTGGGTCCCCCCTCCATGATTTTCACCTCCATTTTCGAGAATTACAGCCTCTTCGAAAATGGGTTTTTTGGGATCAAACCAGGTTGATGGGGTGGGCCATTTTCTAGAGAGAGAAAAGCCCAAAAACCCAATTGGAATGGGCTAATGGAGGTGAGGCGCAGGACCCAGAATTTCCATTGGCGTGCTGAAGCTTTTCTGCAAAGGACTTTCTCTCTCTAACGTGGGGTATCGTTGTTCTCGGTTGGATCATGGATGGAGCATGGTTTTCGCATCAATGGCGGTTCAAAAGACAGATGTGAGTTTTGAAAAGCAGTTAGAGAGAGACTCGCGGCTCACACAATGCACACATTGTGTGCGAGGTGGTGTGGCGGGGGATTTAGAGAGAGAGAGAGAGAGAGAGATTTGTGGAAGTTGCTCGATAAAGAGAGCTTGAGGGAGTTGCTTGAGCTTCAATCTTCTTTCATTTGCAATGGTTGCTAGCTGTGATCTCTCTTTCGCTCTAGAGAACTTGACAGCCTCAAAAACTTTATTGAAAATCTTGCCACCCTTTTCTCTCTCTATATATAGGGCCTTCTCTCTCTATAGTTGCTTATTGAGTTACTCTTCTCTATTTACTATTTACATTGTGTGAGACACTGGGATTAGGAAAAATTTTAGGAAATTATAAAAAATATACCTCAATTTTTTTTATCATCGAAAATAAATTCCAAATTTTCTAAAACCTCATCCCTACCTTTTATTATTATTATTATTATTATTATTATTTATTTTTATCAAAATAGCCCTTCACAGTAGTTTTAGGACCGTGAAGATATCACGGTAGACTCGCTACCGTGATGGTCATGGGTGGTTTAATATTTTGAGGCTTCACGATACTTAAACAACCTTGATAGTCGTTAGGGGTTCTTATGCCCCATGACGATGGTATAACGATTAAATTAGAACCGTGATAGTCCAATAAACCATCATGGTTCTTTAAATATGTGATGTTTCAAAACTACATTTGACTTACAACTCGCTATGACCATCATGGTTTTCAATAGACTGTTATGCTTTCACTGTTCTAAGACTACCGTGAAGGTATCAACTGTGAGGAGGATGTGGTTCAAGGTCTTATGGATGCTATGGGTTGCAGAGTGGACTATTTTCCAATCACCTATTCAAGACTGCCAATCTCTGATAAGAGATTGTCTATCTCTGCTTAAGATACAATTCCTTTAGAGGATCCAAACCAAGTTAGACTTTTGGAAGCCTAAATATCTGTCTCTAAGTGAAAGAAATACTATCTTGTAGTCTTGTTTGGCAAACCTTCCCATATATCAAATGTCTTTACTTCATGTGCCAAAAGCTGTTTGTAAGAAAATTGAGAAGATATTGCATGATTTCTTATGGGGGTCTTATGGGGACGACAGAAAATTCCATCTTATGAGATGGGATAAAGTATGTACTCCTACAAGTGAAGGAGGCTTGGGGATTCGAAGAACTAAGCTTATGAATCAGGTCTTCTTATGCAAATAGTGGTGGAGAAGTATGCAATGTAAAGATCAGCTATGGTTTAGAGTGTTGGCTGTTAAATATGGGATGGATAGATATGGGATGTGGCTGGGATCTGGTAGAGGTGGGTGTGCCTCATTTTTTTGGAAACCAATTGCTATGTGTAAACCGTTTATTGATAGGAGTATTTAGTGGATAGTTGGTAAAGGTGACCATGTATCCTTTTAGCACCACAAATGGATTGGGAACTGTTTCTTAAAATTGCCGTTCCCTGATCTATTTGAGAAGGTTCTCAATCTAATGCTAAGGTTACTGAAATCTGTGAGGGTTGGGGAAACCATGTTTTTTGGAACATGCGTTTGCCTTATAACAGGCTTAGTGATGCTCTTACGGGCCAACTTTGTTCTCTCTTGGACTGGTACGTCATTTGGGAAGAGGGAAGTGAAGGTATCTTTTTCGTTAAGATGTGCTATAGGTTCCTCTTTCATGACCGGTCGAGATGGTCTATGCCACAGTTGGCACAGACTTGAAAATGTCCAATACCTCACAAATTGCAAATTTTTGTATACGTAGCAGCACAAGATAAAATCTTAACCATTGATAATCTTATCAAAAGAGGTAAAATTCTTCCGAATGTCTGCCTCTTGTGTAAGAAAGATACTGAATCTTGGGCTCACTTCTTTCTGCATTGCCAATTTGTTGCTAAGATATGACATTGGTTTTTTGTGGTGTTATGCATTTCTGTGTAGTTGCCTCAGAATGTGGAGGGTATTGTAACTCAACTCTCTTTCCTAAGCTTGCCAAAGATTGAGAAAACCATTTGGAAGATTGCTTGCGGTATAATTATGTGGAAAATTTGATTGGAAGGTAACATGCGTGCTTTTGAAGGGGAGTGCCTTTATATTTGGGTACACATATTGTAGAAATACGATCCAAACCACATGAAACAATTCTCCATAGTTAAAACACTATCGTCTTTCTCTCTCTATTTCCCTTTTTATGGTTCTTGGGTAATTTGACACCCCCACTTTTTCCTTTATTCAAAATATTGAAAGATACTTCTCTCTCTCCTTTTTCTTTTACTCCTAACTTTTTCGAAAAATACATCATAATTTCTTAATGAATTATAATTAGAGATGGTATACTATGAGATCATTTATCATTGTCATAAGTTCATAATCATTTCTAAGAATTACATTCAAATTGGATGGCTTGGAGCATGTCACAAAATTCGAGAAATTATGTTATGAAACTTTGTATCTAGTCAATGATACAGTCATCCAATATAAAATATGACGGACAAAAGTGATTGTAATCTCCTTAAACTAAGAATAAATAGTCTTTTTATATACTCTTTCTTATAATTGGATGAGATTTCCACAAGTCAGCTTATTCATATGCATATATATGGCCCCTCACAAAAATTCATTTTAGATTTTTTTTTCTCTTTCTTTCTTTTTCTTTTTTTTAGATTCATCATTTAGGCTAAGATAATAGTAAATATGAAAAGAAAAATAAATTTGTAAAATTTAAAATATAATTTTTTAGTATTTTTTTATGCACCGTTTAATTATGCCTACGGTTTAATTTTCAAGAAAATAATTATGCCTTTGGTTTTGTTGCGCAAGAGGAGTCTCTCTCTCTTCTTTATTCAAAGAAAGACATCCCCATTTTCCAATGAATGATATCTTCTTTTCTCAAAGAAATAATTCCCCATTTTTTCAATGAATGATGATTTATGGACATGGTTTTGGTGAGCACTGAGTACGTAGAGGTGATAATGTGGGAGCAAATTTCCAAATGAGGGAAGCCGCGTAGGGAAACAGTAGCTTGAAAACATGGGAGACAACTGCAATGATTCTATCTTCCATTGACACTACATATCTTTTCCTCTTCTCATATATACCACCCAAATGACTCTCTCTCTCTCTCTCTCTCTCT